ACGGTCTGGCGGTACCCGCTGGGTGAGCTGTGCTGCGCTGGCCGTGTTTCTTCCTAGGTGAGCGGTGTTCCGAAGAGCTTCAGTACCCCTACGAGATCCTTCTCTCTGTTTCTGCCTCGCCTGAGCGCTACCACGCAGTTCCCATTTGTCACGCTGCTTTTCTGTTCTGCGCTAAGCAGAGAACCATCACCTGCTCTCGAGCTGGCTGTTTATGTATTGTAACCTTCCTCAAGGTTTGCTTTCGTCTCCATTGTTCTTTCCGGAAAATGAAATAAATAGGATGTTGGACTAGAAACTCCGTTACTTCGAGTTTGATTTGTGTTTCCAGTGCTCAGTTGATTCTTACACAGAGCCTTGAGGAAGAGGCAAATAGTGGAAATAATCAGTTTGTATTTTTCTAACACATACATTTTATGCTGACTGATGCTTGGGAACCTGCATCACTGGGGTTCAGTCATGAGACTACTGCAGTTCCCACATGCAGTTTTTGGATGCTCCCTCAGGCCATCACAGTTTTGATAACCAGTTCTGCATTTCCTACATGAGACCATAACAGAGCCAGGATACCTGCGTTTAGCCAGCCTTGTACAACAACCAGTTAATTTGTGATTTTTTTACCATTTCTGAATTTGCTTTGCCGTTAAAGATGTTCAGGTGATAGATAGACATAAACAGAAAGAGGCCTGTGCCACTGAGCGTACGCTAGTCCAGCCACCCACTGTTTTGTCTGATGGGTAGAGAGGTTAAGACATCTTTCCTTCGATGTCCAAGGCTGGCAACAAAAGAGGAAATTGGCAGGAATATCTTGGGAAAGGATAGGAAACTAGTGTCGCACTAGGACGTTTCTGAAGGAAAAAGAGGGGATAGGTGTCCAGGGAACAAGATTCTGAGAGTATACTTGAGGCCAGATGATAGGTTGTATTGAGTTCTAAATTTGTTTTGATTCAGAACTTAGTATTTTTCATACTAGGAGGTGTGAAAAAATGGGAACTTGCTGGTAAGATAAGGTAGAGAGGCCGCTTAAACTTACAGAAGACAGCAAGTGTGAGAAATCAAGGGAGGCTTCTCTACATTGTTTAGAGCTCCCCACTGCTTAGGTCAAAAACAAGTCCCCAAGAATAAATGGGTCAACTGCAGAAAATTTTACCGAAGCTCCTTAAAAAAAATAGAAAGGAAAATGATGCTGGACACCTGCATAACAACAGCAGATTGCAAGGCACGACCATGTTTAAAAGAAACAAAAAAAGCAGTACAGCTAGTGCTTGTGTCCCTCCCTCCTAAGTGGGGTGCCAGGCACTCACACCAGATGATCCTCCAACTATTTCTGCCTTAAAAGCCTCATGTATTTCCATGCTGTCTCTAAGATTTGCCCCTCCATCCCTCCCCACGAGTTTCCGTCTTCAGACTTTGCTTCTCATTCCTCTTGCCTCAGCATCTCCCAGTTAAGCACAGCCCAATTACGTGATTTACAGCCAGACTTGACTCCTCCAGCCTTTTGCCTCAAATTTCTTCTCACTCAGGTTTTCTGATGGCTGCATACAGTTATGTGCCCTAGGCACTTAAGATCCAGTTTTTCCCCGTTCCCCCTGCCCCCACACTGGAAACACGCACATGTATGTACGCTCTTATCTCTCTTAGCCACCTTGCTATAGATCACCCTTGCCAGCAGATCCCCCACCATGCTAGATCTCTCTGCAAGGCTTTTAAAAAGGTGGACGTGAGCTGCACTTAACTGAAATGCACCCAGATGGAGCTCTGAGAGCAGAAAGATAAGCACGTTCAGGAAAAAACGGACCTGTGATAGCGTTACCCGGGAAATGCCTAGGTCTACCAGAAAATTAAATACGGAGCATCCGTTTTCAAAAGTACCACATTCTCCAGAGTGAGGATTGCCAAACGGCTGAGCACACTCAAAAGAGCAAGGGTCATTTGGAAAATGATTGCAGTGCATGTTTATGTACATACTGTATGTGCAATGTCTGTGATGTATTTGCCTTATATAGCATATAAAGAAAAGGTCCAGTGCAAGATGTATCAGATTTACCAAACCTTGAAGAATTCCTCACTTCTATCCAGTAAGTCGATTAAAAAAACAAGAACAACAAAAACCAAAGACTACAGGACTCTACAAGGCTTGAATTCTTTGGGGTCAATATCCGAAATGCTGAGGAAAGGGAAGAGGGGTGAGGGCTAGGAAATTTCAGTAGAGCAAAACTTGTTTAATATCCCTAAGAAAACGGGATGAGCTGACCCGCCATGTATTTTG